TGATAAACATACAGCTGTATTAGGGTGTGGTGGTATAGAATTTGTATTCAAAAACGTGTCACCCCTTAAGCAATGGAAATTAGTCTTGCCTATCTGGGGATGTTGAGGCGGTGGGCTCTCAGAAATTGAGGGTGGTGTGACAGCGTATTCCCTGTTCTGATTATAGAAGCCATTGAGGCCCTCCCACTGGCCAACACACCCGAAGTGTTTGGTCTTCATTCCAACGCTGAGATTGGATATTACACTCAGGCGGCTCGGGACATGTGGGCCCACTTGCTGGAGCTGCAGCCTCAGACAGGTGAAGTCCGCTGTGGGGGACGGAGTTGGTTCGGTCAGGGTGCAAGGTGTTGGCACAGGGTGCTCTTGGTTCTTGTCGGTTGTATACTGTTGATGCCTTTCCAAGCACCAGAAGGCTCAGGATGCCCCAGTCCTAACACTCAGATGCCTTGCTTTCCCTAAAAACTGTCCTGATTTTAGGGGAATCCAGCAGTGGCATCAGCCGAGATGATTACATTGGCCACATTGCCAAGGACATAGAAAACAAGATGCCTAAAATCTTTGACTTGGACCAGATCAGGAAGCGCCTCGGGGTGGGCATCTCCCCCACGTCGGTGGTGCTTCTGCAGGAGCTGGAACGCTTCAACAAGCTTGTCATACGGATGTCCAAGTCTCTGGCTGAACTTCAGAGGGTGAGCATGCTCCTAATGCGCACACCACTGCCTAGACGCACCACCCAGTTTTCTGACGGTCTTGCCTGACTGCTCTCAATTCTGCAAACAGGCCTTGGCGGGAGAAGTTGGCATGAGCAATGAGTTAGATGACGTAGCCAGGTCTCTTTTCCTCGGGCAAATCCCTAATATCTGGAGAAAGCTTGCCCCGGACACGTTAAAGTCCCTTGGGAACTGGATGCTCTACTTCCTGCGGCGGTTCAGCCAGTACACGTTGTGGGTAAGTAGAGGCAATGGTCCCTTCTTTGGTTTGAGGTTCAGCCTGGACCGACCCTGCCCCCAACCACCTCCAACTCCCAACCCCTCTCTAACTCCACAGTAGTACCTTCTGTTTGCAGTTGATTGGGTGTTCTAGAAATGGTCTCTGACTCTACAGGCATACCTGTATTATTTTTTCCTTTTTGTTTCATTTTTAAGACTTTGAAGCCTATCATGCACAATCTGATTTATTCATTTCAGAGTCCATCTTGGCCATTTTTCCTCTAAGTACATTTGGAGCTAACTTACTCTTTTAAGGGGACTCTGTTTTACAGACATTCCATGTCCTTTCCTCTCATGGACACTTGGGTGGTTCCATTTGGGTTTTTTCTCTTTTTAGCCAGAATGGACAACACTCGGGCGCCTATGTCTTTAGTTACGCACATAAGTATATTTCACAGGCAAATCCCTACAATGGCAGAGTTGGGTCCCAGGGTGTGCATTTCACATTCTGACAGCTCTTGTCAGACAGTCTTCTAAAGAAGTGGGAACCACAGTGAACGAACACGAGTATTTCCTCCCCTCTCTGTGACACTGTGTGTTTTTAATATTTTGGATCTTTCCTCCCTGATAGGTAAATAATAATATATGTGGGTGTGCATTTCTTTAATTATGGTGAGGCTGAGCATATCTTACACACACGTAGGTATCTCATTTCTTTTTCTGTGAATCATCTTTTTGTGTCTTGATTTCATTTTTATCGAGTTCTCCATCTTTTTAAAATGATCTTTTGGAGCTCTTTGTGTATCAGGGAGATTAGCCCTGTGTCTGCCAGTATTGTGTTTCTCCCAACTTGTCATAAGTCTTTTGATTTTGCTTATGGCATTTTTTTTTTCTGTAAGAAAGTGTTACAGTTTTATTTAGTCAAATGTATCAGTCTGTTCTTTTATGGCCCCTGGGTTTGGCATTCCCAACTCCAAGGTCTTGACGACATCCATTGGAGATGTGATCTGGTACTTTTTTGACTTGGTTCTTTTATATCTAGATCTTCATTCCTTCTGGAATCAGGTGGTTTAGCTTGTTTTCCCCAGCAGGCTCCCAGTTGTACCCATGCCCATCTTTTCGCTGCCAAGGTGAACTATGTTTAAGTGTGAACTGAATGTCTGGTTTGTGCTTGGCCCTGGCATTTGATGTTGGCCCCAGGCTCCTGCCAGCTTCCCTCCCTTCCCTCCAGGTCACCGAGAGCGAGCCCAGCGTGATGTGGCTCTCGGGGCTGCACATCCCAGAGTCCTACCTCACGGCCCTGGTGCAGGCCACCTGCCGGAAGAACAACTGGCCGCTTGACCGCTCCACCTTGTTCACGCAAGTGACCAAGTTCCAAGATGCAGATGAAGTGAACGAGCGGGCAGGACAAGGTACAGTCAGCTCGCTGGGGAGTCTCCTCCCCGAGCTGTCCCCGACTCCGAGCAACAGGCACGGTGTGGGCTGAAACAGGGCCAGGCCACGTTTGAAAGTGAGGCTGCTGTGGACAGCGGCGCTGTGTGTGCCCTCCCCGAGTCTTGACCTCTCTGAGGGTGACCACATGCACTGCTCTGCCAATTTCAGCACTGAGACCTAGGGTTGATGTCAGGAGAGACCTGAACCATGTTCACTGGGCTCCTTTGTGGCAAGTGGGCTCCTTGGTCAGAATTAGATATTTCACAGAACTGGATCACCCGAGGGCTTCCCTGGAAACCCTGAGGGATCAGGGGCGTGGGCGCCAGAAGGCAGATCAGATGAGGTTGGACCCACAAATTATAATGTCAGGTCCCTTCAACACTGGTGACTGACGCTGCAGACTCTGGCTGGGAGCTGCCATTTCCTAGGGCGGGGCCCTGGAGTCGGAGGACATTTAACCGTGAGCAACAAAAGCCCTCTTGAGCCAACTTAGAGACGGGCTTCATGGTAGAGATTCAGGGATGCTCACCATCCCCGTAGCACAAGGCCAGCGAGGTCTCAGAGGAACTGGCAGGTGTCAGGGCCACCACACTCTCTGGGTGACTGACTGTCCTCTGCTGTTGTGCATGTCTGTCATGTCCTGTTCCCCAGACACCATTTTCTCTGCTGGGTTTGACTTCCTGCCCGCCCCCCTCTGGTTCAGGGACTTGGGGTTGCCGTGGTACCGAATGGAATGACCGGTGCTTCTGTCTTTATAACCCGGGGCTCCAGCATCTTGGACTGTGTTCCTTGAAGCAGATTGCTGGCGGAGGTGCCCACCCCTCGTCCCCTTCACCGAGGCCATGGGGGAGGCTCATGGGATCTACAGAGTGTCCTGTCTGGGCTGTCCCTCCGCAAAGGGAAGAAAGGACGGCCACCTCTTTTGGAAAAAGGCCTGGGCTGTGTCTGGGGAAGGAGAGCCGGTTACTTGTTGTGCGTGCACCGCGGACATCCGGGAGAGCCGCCGGTGCCTCCACAGAAATCCCCGTCTCTTCCTGGTATCTCTAGGATGCTTTGTCTCAGGACTGTATCTGGAAGGCGCTGACTGGGATACAGAAAGAGGATGTCTTATCAAGAGCAAACCTAAGGTGCTGGTGGTCGACCTGCCGATTCTGAAGATCATCCCCATCGAAGCCCATCGCCTCAAACTGCAGGTGGGAGGGTCACACTTGGAGTGGTTCAGACCGTCTGGCCCTTTAAAACACAGGTGGTTAAACTTTGGTGGGTGGGGGAAGCCCTGAGACAGGGCAAGAGTGTGGAGCCACTTCCCGGGAAGACCCACGCGTGCACAGGTGTGTAAGCGGAGACTCCCTGAGCAGCACAGCTTCACGCTTGGAGCTGTGGTCCGGACTGACTTTGGGAGAGACGCCTCCCTTCCCGTCATGTCCTGCCTCATCAAGTCCTTACATTTGGGGTGGCAGCAGGTGCCCCCCTGCTCGGCCCGGATCCACTTTCACCCTGTCGGGGCTTGGTTGCGGAGGGCGGCCCGGCCAGGCCGGCGGGAGGCGCACTGCACCATCCGCACCCACACGAGTGTCCCATGGCCTGGGCTTGAGCTCCTCTGCCCTCTGGCAGCACACCTCACTCGCCTCTCCTTTGCAGAACACTTTCCGGACGCCGGTCTACACCACCTCCATGAGAAGGAATGCCATGGGAGTTGGTCTGGTGTTTGAAGCCGATCTCTTCACCTCAAAGCACATTTCTCACTGGGTGCTGCAGGGGGTATGCCTCACCCTGAACTCCGACTGACCGTCTGGGCCAAGAAACCCACATGCCCAGCTCCGTCCGTGGCTGGCGGTAGAAATGTGGGCATTCGGCAACAGTGGTCACGTCTGCGGTCAGCTCTCGGGGCCTGGAGTGGCTGGAGGTGGATGGACACGGCTTTTCCTTTCATTTGAAATCAGTCAATTTAATCTCTTTCCATAGAAATTAAGCAGATGGTTTTGTTTTTTAAACTGTTTCTAAGGCTTCTGCGTATTTGGAAAGTAAATACTAGAGAACATTTTAAGGTATGTCGTTTCTTTCCCTTCTGAGGAGACGTTGTGATTAGGTGAAAGTGCTGGGCGGGGTCTGGCAGAGTCCCCTTCCTGGGCCGATGCTGCCGCCCCCAGCAGATGGCCGTGGTCCCCCACCGCCACCCCTCCCCCCTTCCAGAGCTCTCCAGCCTGCCGGGTGGGGGTGAGGACCCTGAGCTGGTGTGTCACTCCCACATAAGCTCCTGCCTGCACCCTGGCCGGGGCTGCGTGGGGCTGGGGGCAGACTTAGAACATCCCAGCCTGGCTCCTGGGCGGGACCCCTTCCTTCTGCACACCCTGGGGCCAGGCCTGCTGCAGGGCAGGAGTGGCTTTACTTTGCAAGGGAGGAGCCTGGTGGAGCACCAGCAGGGCAGAGGGGTAGGGGCCAGTCATGGGCACAAGTAGCTTCTGCCAGAACCTGGAAGTGCAGAGCCTTCTCAGGGGCGGGAGCCCTGGGAGAGAACATGGGGTGAGAATGCAGTAGTTACTAGGGTGGGGGGCAGCTGTTTCTCCTGCTCCTACAGCCTCCCCCCCACCAGCTCCTCCCTCAGGTGGTTTAATAAAAGACACAAAACAGAAAGAGGCAGGTTTAGAAAATAAAGTTTGTTGGGATCTTGAACACTTTGGATAAAACTAACAAAAAATATGAACACACATTCAGGTTGTGGTGATATGAGAAGTAACATCATATTTTGTTCCCGTGATATACATATACAGCTTCTTGGCTCTCTGTGCCGCCCTGGGAAAGGCTTGTCGGGAGGTGACAGGGTCTCCTGGAGGGAGCAGGGGCTGCTCCAGACGGGCTGCCCTGGAAACTGGAGCGAGGGTCAAGGTCGGTCGGCGTGTATTGCTCTGGCTGTATAGTGAGGCGTGTGACTGTCTGATTTCATTAACGTCGAGCAGTGATGCAGCCTGGGGCCTGTGCTCTGTCCACGAGCGCACGGAGGTTACACGGAGTGGGATTAGAAGCAAGCGATTCGGCACACAGGTGTTTGGCCACAGCAATTAGTAAATACGTATTCTGCAGCAGGGACACGATCGTATTTTGGTGTCAGTAAGAGGGCAAGAGGAGCAGGAGAAGAAGAATCTGTTGACAGGTCTGAAAAAAATTTGGCATGCATGGGATTTAAAAAAAAAAAAAAAAAAGGATGAGTTTTTCCTAGTAGTGATCACAGTGCATCGACAGCCGAGGGTGAAGGGCCGCCTAGGGCAGGCTTCACACAGTTCTGTCCGTCCCTGAGTGCTTCCTCACGGCTTTCCCTCCGTTCACCTGGTCAACCGCCAGTGTCTCCACCTCGGGCTGGGTCTGTGGCGGGACAGTGTGGTGGATGCGGTGGGCCACCCCCACGTGAGCCTTGTGTGACTTCTCGCGGGCCGGGCTGTGCTGCTCGCTCGGGCCGCGGTCGGAGGTGATGGGGGGGATGACCAGAGGCCTCTCCTTGATGAGGTGGACCTCGGCGGACTCCCTGGCCAGCAGGAATGGGGTGGGGTCAGGCATGGCATCCACTGGCTCCCGCAAGAGGAGTTTCCGGCTCTCAGCCCCAAATCTGTAGACCTCTTCAAATTCAGGGTGCAGGGGGGCCGAGAGGCTCTTTTTCATCCGGCGGCGGGGCGTTTCGGGCAGCTTGTCCTTGGGGGGCGCCGGCTTGTAGCTGGCCAGCACGGGGCTCCCGGAGGGGCTGCCGTCCGAGGTCCCACTGGCGCTCACGAGCTTGCGCTTGGCGGCGTGCAGCTGGGAGGTCAGGTAGGCGATGGTGCTGGCGCGCTGCTCGAGCTCGCTGGACAGCATGTTCAGCTTGTGGCTCTTCACCTTCAGCTCCTCCAGGTACTTCTTCTCCCGCTCCTTGACGGTGTTCTCCAGCACCGCGATCATGGCGTTCTTCTGCTCCAGCTCTCTGAGCAGCTCATTGTTCTCGTTCTCCTGGAGCTTCAGTTGGGCTTCCAGTTCTTCACATCTTCTCTTTAGTTCACTGCTTCTGGAAGACCCCTCTCCTAGAAGAACAAGCCAAGGGCCGGGGTCTAGAACCCCCCAGAGCGGAGGCAGAGAGTCCTTCTGTGCTGGCTGGCCTCCCCAGGGCCTCCTGCTCCCGCCCCCCTGCCCTCTCCCTCATCCAGGTGCCGATCGAGTGCTCTCGGAGCGCCTTCCCGCCCTCGGTTCCCTGGCTCACTGCACAGAATGCCCGCACACTTCAAAAGTGCTGAGGTCACGACGGGCAACCTCAGGCTATCAGACCCCAGCAAATAGGAAGTCAACTGTGAGCAGATCCCTCTGTCTGCTTGGGCCGCATGTACTAATAAGCGCCTGCTTCACTCGAAGCCCCGTTCTGAAAGACAACTGTAGACTTCCTCCGTGTCTAAGCACAAAACTCTGAAGCTGCAGAGGAGACAGGAGGGGAGGCTGCTGCCTTCCCTGCCACAGGGTCCCCGACTAAAGTGGTGGCTGTCCCTGGGCTGGGGCTCCGCCTCAGCCCCGGGCCCACCCTGTATGTGCCCACTTCCAGCAGCTCAGGATCTCCCCCGGGGCTGCCGGGGCCTGTGCTGGGCTGGGAGCCAGCGTCCGCGGGCACCTCTCACATGGGGATGCGGGCCAAGTGGGGCCCCAAATCCAGGGCTATGGACTGATGTTTGTTGGCTCCTGATTTTTCAAGAGCGCACCCTGTCTGCCTGCCCTACCTCCCTGAGACTCGAGAGAGCTGCTCCTTGGTGACCATTGTTCCCAGGGATCAGCACCTCCTCTTTTGCCAATTTCCACTCTTCTATAGGAAGCTCTACTCTACCTCCTCCCTCCACACCCACATCCTTTCTAGAAGTTTCGGTCTTTCCCCATAAAAGCTGCATGTGCACTCAGCTGAGGCAACCGTTCTTCATCACCTACAGACAGATTTCCCCAGCTGCCTGAGTGCTCAGTCACTGCATCACTTAAAAAAAATTTTTTTTAAGTAATCTCTACACCCAATGTGGGGCTCGAATTCACGACCCCGAGATCAAGAGTCACACACTCTATGGATTGAGCCAGCCAGGTGCCTCTCACTGTGGCACTTTTTAAACAGATTCTCAGATCCCCTCCCTGAGCCTCAGAATCAGAACCTTCAGGGGAGGGGGTCCAGGAGCCTGTATCTTCCCCCTTCCCTGCCCCCCCCCCGCCCTGTGCCCCTAAATGGAGCAAGTTCTGCATCCACCAAGGTAAAGCAGTGACTTCCAGTCCTGGGGAGGGGAGATGCCCCACCAGGGCCAGCTAAGAGCTCTTATACTGCCTCCAATTATCACCTTGAGCCCCTGCCGCTGAGGAGGATGGGTGGGTGGCCTTGGGATTTAGAGCTGAGACCCTCAAGGGGCTCTCTAGAGGCACGGGAGGAGGGACCAGGCATAGGAGCTCCTTCCTCCTGTACGCAGAGAGGGTTCAAGGGCAGAACTAATCTTCAGGTTAGCCTGGCCAGGAGGGGGTGGAAAGTGAAACATCCTGATTCCCGAGATGTGGATGGCAGGGGTGCAAGAATCCCTGGAGGCCCCTGATCCTGGCCCAGGGCTTTGGGGGAAGAGGAGCCTGGCATCGTATCTCTTCAGCGAGGCCCCTCCTCTGCCACACAGACAAAAGGACATCTGGGCCCCTGAAAGACATACTTAGGAGACTGTAACCTGAGTGTCACAAATGGAAAAGTCAGTACTTGGCGATGCACTGAGACCCATGGAGAGGTCTGTGTCTGTTACCCATACTTGGACACACTCATGAATAATAAATAGGCCATAGTGCGGCCTATTTAGGAAAAGGCATCTCAACTCGTGGATTCTGCACTTTTCAAATCCCCACTTGGTTCCGGGGAGCAAGCTAATTGTCATCGGCCACAGGGGCCCCCCGTTCTATCTTCTCTGCCCCAGCTGCCATTAGGCTGATATCTTTGGGGGTCCCTGAGGATTCTGGTTGAGGGGAAGCATTTCTGGGACTGCAGTCTAGAGAAAGGCATTCATGATCCTTTGGGGACTATCTAGTCATTTGGTCCCTCACTCAACCAGTGTGTCGGGAGCGCCTGCTCTGTGCCAGGTCCTGGGTGAGGCTCAACGGACAGAGGTGGTGGGACCCTGTTCCTTCTCCTCTTTCTGGTTTAAATTACATTAATTTCTTGATTAAAGAAGGAAGACATTCACTGGAGAAAAATCAAAGTCAAGAAAATCATGTAAGAGACATTCCAAATATATGTGTCCATCAAAAGAAAATAAAACCACTCCTCCTTCCCACTCAACTGACAGACCTTAATAACACCTCAGGGTCCAAACTTCCTTCCCATCTTTTCTTAGAAAGCTCTGGTCACACGTGCAACTCTTCCTAGTGATATATTTTCTTCTAAATGTGTAGCTAGTGAACAAATGGCACCAACATGTGCCACAACCAGAAATAATACCGCCATTCACTTTCCGGGAAGAAGTTCTTACCTGTCTGGTCCGAACTTTTGAGTGTCAGCTCATATGTTAAATCTAAAAAGGAAACCATATACATTAATTTTGTATGTTTACAGTAGGTTTCAAAGTCTTCATCAGCTCTGAAAATGCAGAACCAATTCCCACGATCAGCCCGCAAGTCCTGCCCAGAGCAGGGCTTGGCAGCGTTAGTGGCAGGCGTGCAAATGGCAGGAGCCACCAGCGGCCACTGTCCCTCCTAGGGCTCAGAGAGACCCTCCTTCCCTAAGACACACCCCAGCATCTACAGTAGTTAGCAAGCAGCTCGCTCTGTGTGTTAGTTTGACGATCATTTCCAAAATGCACTGTAAATTGCATTTTGATTTTCTAAATCCTCAGTATGCCAAGAAATGGCTTTGCAGCTTTACGACTGGTGCATGTTGATTAGGCAAAGAGGATGAGGGAAGACACTGGGATGGACTCCAGCGATGGTGGGCTTAACCACATCAGAGAGAAGAGTGAAATCTCTTCTCGCTCCACTCCTGAGCGAGCCTAGCACGGCTTCTGAGCCGGCCTCTGTCTCAAACAGTCCCAACAATAGGTCCTGCTTTGCTCTACGGCCCCAGGTGGGCCTGGGGGCCCTGCTCCGGGGGGTCGCATGGGGCCCCTGGTACCTGTGCAGTGTTGCTGCAGCCGCCTGATCTCGGCGTGCAGCCCCTTGAGGGTGCTGGCGTGCTCCCGCTGAAGGAACAGGAGGTTCTTCTGGGCACTGTGCAACTGGTTCTCCAGGTTTGTGGCTGCCATGCTGACATCCAGATGGCCTGCGGGAAACACAGATCCTGGTGGCTCTGACAGCGAGGGTCGCGGGTGGAAGGCTGGAAGAGGGCACTGCCTGCTGCCTGCTGCCTGCCCTCCTTGGCTTTGGGGGGGTGGCAGGCAGCATGAGGCCTGGCTCTGGAGGCGGAAGGGGTACATCAAACCTGGGTTCCCCGATTCCAAATCCTAGCCTTTCCACACGCCACATAGACTTCAACAGGCTGTGACCAAAATTGCTAGATTGCCAAAGATTTCCCTGACAAGGTACACACTGACAGCTTCCTCACGGAAAGACCGAGCACCTGGGCAATGGGCTGAATGTTTCCTCCAAATGGTACTGAGAGATGGCCAAAGCCAAGGAGGAGGAGGAAGAGGCTGGGAGAACTCCGGAAGGAAGCCCATGGATTTCACGGAGCTGAGAGGAGCCCTGCATCTTTCTTTGGGAAAGGGCCATGTGGTGACTATCGGAAGCTGGAGTCTGTCCCCAAACCCTGCCTCCCCACCCACGGCGGCTTCTGTCATCAATCATCAGCTGCTCACTCGGCCTCAGATTCTCTGACTTTACTGTAACTTGAGAAATGTGGTGAAGTCAATTGGTCTTTCTGGAAAAGCTACCAAAGACATTTAAGACGCCTTGCACAGCACTGAAAAATGCAAAGGACGAAATGTGGGTTATTTGCTTATAAATTATTCTTGTAAATACAGAACCTCAGAGTGCATTTTTCCTCATTTGCTATGCCAAAGAGCCCTCCCAGAGGAACACTACTTCTCAAAGGGCTTCCAGTATGTGGATGGCACTGGAGATGACCACACGCCCAGGTACTGACACCACACTGGGTGACACGAGTGACACACCCCAGCTCTGGAGCTAAGAAAAGTTCATAACTGGAACTCAAGACATGAGTCTTCACTCACACAGAAAAGCTTCCCACGATCTCCTTAGGCCACAGGCTTCACTCCAAAGGAAAGTTGAGGAAATAGAGGGTGACAGGCAAGCCCGAGAGGGAGGGTGAGGGGAAGAGGTGCAGAGGAACAGAAGGACGTTTGGCGGGGAGAGGGGCACGGGGCAGCGTCCGGTGATGGTGTTGGCCACTGTGCCCCGTCGGGGGTGGGAAGGGGGTACAATTTGGCAAAGTGTGTCCGGAGCCTGGGAGTGTGTCATCCCTCTGACTTCACGATTTCATTTCTAGGAATTGAGCAAAGGACAAGATTTACTTTTGTGTGAAAAGAGGTAGCCGTGACAATGGCCATTACAGTGCAGTTCACAGAAAAGACCAGAAACAGAATCCAACAAGAGGGAACTTATTACAGTGATGGTTTCTAGAGAACAGAGATGAGATTTCCCAGGCCTTTAACTCGACTTCAAGCTGCAGCTGAGGCCAAGGTCGAGTTTCCATCAGACAGAGCTTTTCCATGGGGAGCTGTGAGCAGCCTTCCAGTTTCCACTCTGAAGGCTTGTCTCTGCTGCAAGCGCAGGTGCTCCTGTCCAGGTCCTGGGCCAGGTGGGGACTTCCACCTGGGACCCCAGGGCTCTGGAGAGCCCATGCTGCCTGGCCAGCTCGTGGTCTGAGAGCAGGACACTGACCCCAACACAGGAGTCAGCCATGACGAGTGGCGCAGGTGGGCTGGCCAGCGTGCTCCTGTGGGAAGGAGCCCCCTCTGACTTCCTGCTTAATGCTAACTTTAGAGGCAGGCCTTGCTCAAAGAAAATGGGAAACACTAAAATTTCAAAACAGTTTTGTCCAGCACTGATTGTACAAGATGAGATGTGCCCATAATCTACCAGAGGGGGCAGGGAGGCGAGTAAAAATAGGACCTCAGCGGCCACCCCGTTCCAATCATACTGTGGTACCACATTTTATTTATAACACATTTAAATCTGATTTAAAGAAGCATTCACATTCTAATTGCCTCAGTGGATCAGCAGCTTTGAATTGTACTAAATCTGTAATTTATTAGTTCACCAAGGCAAGTACAGAAATAAGAACGTACCCTTGAAGCTTCCCATTGTCATGGGCAGATAGCCTTGGGAGAAACACAAAGTGAAGAGGAAGACGACTATGAGTCTGTAACGTGCAGAGCCGGCAAGGGAGCGTGGCGACTCCGTCTGGGGTCCCGACAGCAGGAAGGCAGTTCAACCCTGTGGCACTTCACTGACTGGCGCTCTGTCCTTCTCTGCACTCTGTGCTGACGTAACAGGCCCAAGTGAGGAGAAGCTATTCATGCAGGGCACCCTCCAGTTGTTGGATACACAGCAACAGTGCAGGCCCACTGAGGCCCGAGGAAACAAGTCACGTCTCCAAATGGTATCCAAGCTACTCAATTGTTTTCCCTCTGCTCAAAAGGCTGACAATATCACAGACTTCCTGATGACAAGGAGTTGCTGTAGCTTAGAACAAAGTGATGCTTTCAAACCTTATTCTTAGCTCTTGTGACATGCAATCACGGCTCATGACCTAATCCTTCCAGTAAATTGGCAAGAACGAAGTTACAGAAGCCTCCCGTTTAGGCCATGGAGACACAGCTGGAAGATGTGGCTAATTTGGAGGAAGAAATGAAGGTGGTCCTGAGAGGTTTAATTCAGAATTTCTAAGACACTCTGGGAGTCAGAGACACGAAGGAGCATTCAGGACTCATCCCTGAAAGGGTCAGCGTGATGGATGAAGGTAAAAATGCAGGGCGTCTACTACCCATGAATAATGCATCCTTCTTGAGTAAAGGCATTCACCCTGTCTCGACAGTGTGTCAACCAGTAATGGAGGCTGACACTCCCAGAGCACGGCTTGCAAAACACTGCACTTTCTGTGTCAAAAGGGCATTTGCTACAAATTGTGGGCTCTTTGTATTGCCGCTTTTAGTCTTGAGGCAATCCGATTTTGTTTTTAAGTGTCGCTGGGAGCTGTCAGCAATTTCACAGTTATTGGCTCGGCCAAAGGCAGTGTGGCCTGGACATTGGCCTCCTCTCCTCTCGGAGATGCTGTGCTTAGCTGCAGATGATGGGCTTCCAAGTGACTGGCATTCCAGGGCCCGGCCACGGCGGTGGCCAGAGGGCAGGACCCCCGCCCATGGCATGCACAGCTCTGCCAGCGAACTTGGGCTGAAGCAGTGGGCACGGGCATCCTGAAGGGAGACCTGCTGCATAGGCTACCTTGACCACGATTTGGAGGTTAAGCCACACATGCATTTTTTCCTGTGGTAAATTCATTAGGTAGTAAATTTCTGTTAATTTGCAATTCACTCTACATGTTGGGAAAATTGATGCTTGACAAAGACTGTTCCAAATTCTAGAGAGGGGTTTTGGAGACCTGGCCAAGACTTCCTCCCGGCACGGGGAGGGATGCTAACACCATCTCCTGGTGATAACATGCTTTTAATGAAGTTCCTTGGAGAGACGTCGGCCCCAACCTCACCGAGGCTGCTCTGTGGCAGCACAAGGACAAATGGCCTATCAGTAGCTCATGTCCAATTTTCATCCTAATTCAAAAGTAATGTTCTTTCCTCTCTTTCAGGGCATTAATGTATAAACGATGACACGGTAATTTTATTTATGGGCCATCTCCACTTGTACACGCACAAAGTGCTCTCCTATCACTTACGTCGTTTGTTCTCGGAATACTCCCCTGAGGAAAAACAGGAATATCCCATCGACCAGGGAAAACATAAATTAGAGAATGCTGCATCTGAGCCTTGCAGCTTCTCTGGGCCCTCAGGCTCTGTGGGCGAGAATCCTGAAGGCTGGGGTAGGTCTCAATTCCATGCAGAAAACCAGACGCTTTTCCAAAAGTCTGCATCACATCTCGAATGCTCTGACCCAGAGGGGAAAATAAGCAGGGGACCTCGTGGTGGCCTCTCAGCATGGGGAGCGTAGTGCTCCTCCAGCCACGCCAGGCCCGGGCCACGTGACAGCCTGCACAGCACTGCTCACTGGAGCAGGATCCACGGGCTCTCTGAGCTCCACGTTAGACAGACAATGACCAAAGGGCACTGCTGACCAGCCAGTATGGCAAAAAGGCTCACCAGCAAAGTTGTCCAGGAAGCTGGCTGGGGGCAGGGCACTCTGGGCCTACCCGGAGCCCTTACGAAGCAGCTAAGCTGGCTTGGGGAGAAAGAATAAGGTACACATAGCGTTGCATGTGTGCCCTGATCCTTGGGGTTCAGGCAGGTGCCCAATCCGAAAGCCAGGGCCATACTCCCTGTCTTCCTCTGGGGCTAACTCAGCAATGAGTCTGTGTGGGGTCAAAAGGCCGCACCTTGGCCCCGCTGCTGCTGCCGGGAGCAGCTCTGGTGCTACAATGGGGAGGAACCAAAGCCAGACTCACTTTCGCCCCCTTTTAAACACATACCATTTTCTTCAACATTCCTCCTAAGTGCATACACAGATCTTGCCTACATTTTCACCTGCAGACAAAGTTGACCATCTTGCATCCCTGCGATGTTCTTGGGATCCAGCCCCCATTCCCAGAGGCCCAGCCTGCTCCGCCTGCCCTCCCCAGCCTTTCCCCACACCAGTCTCCCCCAGGACTCCGTCAGCACTGTTGTCTTCCCCGCTTGTCTGCCACACCCCTCCCCCAACACAGGGCCTTTGCATGTCTTTTCCCTCCATCTGGAATTCTCCTGGCAAACTACCTCCCACCCTCTTGCCTAATGAACTTCCATTCTTCCTTTACATCTGAACTCATGCATTACAGGCCGGCTTCAGATAATTTTACAATGCTTCCTAATGTTGCTGAGTGGAGGTCTCCGTGAGAATTACACTGCATTAATCAAAAAGCACTACGGCAGCACTGATTTGAACATGACCTCATCCCATAATTCCTTGACATGCCAGAAGCAATATTTTAAAGTGTGCCTGTACCACATTTCTTAGACTAAAAGCAATGGAGTGTCTTTGATGGGAAAGGGTCCCACCATTTAAAAATGGGAAACTTCTTTGTTCGTGGGCAACCAAAGGCAGACTTATCTTTTCGCTCAACACAAAGCCTGTGGAACTAGGGTAATAATTTTA